CTGGACCTGCAACGTTAACTCTGCTTTCTCACCATGTTCTATTTTTACGTACCATTTTTAAAAATTTCTTCTGTGTAATAAACTTCTGAGCTGTTGTTAAAGACACTCTGCAACCTGCAATGTGAAAATATCTCAGTGACTAACCACCACATTAGATAACTAAGCAAAAAAAAAATCTATCAAGTCAAGTTCCATTTTGGGATCTGACTTGTCCAGTAGTATTATTAGCTGGGATCATAACAGCAAGAACAGGCATTGTGGCTCTTTATCTTTGCCACAGCAATATCATTCTGCTTCCTGACCAATCAGGGCAAGCAGGCTAATCAAAAAGACCCAATAGGGTGACTGTACACCCATTCTCCAAGTGTGTGCGCACGTTGATGACAGAGAACAAATGTTGTAAACTCACCCTATGGGTTATCTGAAAGATCACTGGATGTAATTTTTCAGGTATTAAGGAGCCACAAAGATATCTTATTCCTGTTGGATGGGAGGAAGAAGTCAGCACCTGAGAGCGAACAGGCATTGCTCAATGTTGAAGAGGATGTTGAACAATGCGTATGGTGCCACAGTCCTAGAAACAATGCTGAAAAGGGTTCAACGACTTCATTAGGATGGGAAATGTGAATGCACCTTAAAGTGCAAAGCCTCTTACTCTGATACCTCTACACATTCACAGCACTCCTCAGACCATTATTTGTGGCCCCATCAATGCACAAAGGCTGAAACAACAGTTGTTGAGTTAGGAGATACCTCCTTTTAAACTAACTGTAAATATTTCTGAAAGTGTTTAAGATTGGATCCAGTTATAGCCTTCACCACCTGGTGGTTTAAGTGGAGTCATTGGTGTTGATCCTGCTAGCATGTATTGGAGCCTGGAAAAGGGAACATTTTTCAGCTGCTTTGTTGTTGACTTTTGATGGAGGAGAGAATAGAACAGGAAACAACAATGAATGTTTTCTTCAGAGCTGGGAGACCAACCTTTACAGCAAGATGTGGGTACTTGGTGCACTTTTCAATAATGACTGCTACTTGAAGCTGGGGGAAGGGCCAGGAGAGGAGAAGACACTAGCTAGAAGATGGTGAGGAAGTATGCATGCATGTGTGTGTGCTCCTATAGGCCACACACAACCCTGCCTGGGTGATATTTTCTTTCATTTCATTGATAAGACCTGCTTGACCTCCCCCTACCAGAAAATCACAACCAAAGGCTTTGTTCATGTCCAGAACGTATACCACTGCAGCAACAATACACCAACCCGCCACTGAGTGATGGCTCTGTCACCTTCTGTACTTCCTGCCTTTATTTCTCCCTTTGTCTATCACTCCCTTTGATAAGTAACTGATATGACCTTTGGAACAAAAACAAAGTTGCTGGAGAAGCTCAGCAGGTCTGGCAGCATCTGTGAAGGAAAAAACAGAGTTAACGTTTCGGGTCCGGTGACCCTTCCTCAGAAC